TTAGGCTTTTTGAACATATAGGTCTTTAGACCTTACCTCCATATGAAGAGAAATTGCAGAAGTTCATTTAAACAGTTTTCCTTCTGTCCACCACCAGGTGGTAGAATTGGCCCAGAACAGCTTGGTTGTACTACTGGAAAGATGGTGTCCATTTCTATATACCAGACACTAGTTGAATGTTCATACTTCAGAAGGACTTTTGTCCTAAATAAGAATTCCATTTCAGCTAAATCAACTTATTTCTGTCTCAGCCCCATTTTATTTGAACCAGAGGGTCTACCATGGTGATTCTCAGAGTTTAGAACACAGCCATCCCTTGGTATCTATGGGAGATTGGTTTCAGGATCTCTGTGGATACCAAAATCTATGGATGCTCAAGTTCCTTATATAAAATCATATAATATTTGCATATAACCTACAGACATCCTCCCATATATTTTGAGTCATCTCTAGATTACTTGTAGCACCTAATGCAATGTACACAAGTTGTTATACTGTATCGTTAAGGAGGTGATGACAAGAGTTGGTACATGTTCAGTACAAACTGTCCCTTTTTTTTCCTCCTAATTATTTTGGACCCACAATTGTTTGAATCCATGGATTCGGATTCCACTGATATAGAGGGCCAACTATATTTCAAAATTTCTTGAGATACATGTGAAAAAATGTATATTCTGTGATTTCACTTTCAGGATTTTGAATCCTTGGATCTCAACAGGGATTCTGCATTTTTGACAGAGAGCCTCAGTTCTTATGCAGATGACTAGTGTATTACATTTTGAAATATGCTAATTTCAGTTTGCTACTGATAATACCCATGAAGGATTTCTTTTTTTTTTTTCCTTTGGAGGAAAGTGGGAGTTGGGAAGGTTGATTGTCTGCTTTTTGTGGTTGCCTAGGTATATAGACAGATATATATTGTCTGCTTTTGTGGTTGCCCCTGAAAGTCTGGTAGCAAAAATAAGCAATATACCATTTAGATCAGACAACCAGGACTATACTTTAGAGGGCCTAGCTACAGCTTTCTTCTAGCCAAAGCCCTTTCCACAGAATGAGGACTTTCAGAAGACATACCTACCTGAAATTCATGCAGCCCCTCCTAGAACATACTCTGGGTACTCAGTACCCTGAAATTCCTTCCCCAAATGCCCACTTCCAGGCCCAGTACAGGACTCCTCCCTCATCAGAACCAGTGTGCACACACCTAAGTCTAAGGGACATGTAACTCAGGGATAGCTTATAATTGCTTACCTTCACTATTTTTTCTCTCCACCAGTAAATTCCTTTACCTTTGCTATTCCATATTAACAGCTCTCAATGAGATTCCTTTGATGTTGAGGAAATTACCCTTCAACCTATAATTTTCTATAGTTACATCTGATGATGAGGCTGCAGTGTTTTAATTGCAATACATTTTGTTAGAGCAAAGGAAAGCTGCAACTTTCCAAACAATTGGGAAGTTGTGGTTCTTCTGCCATACTCCTCCTTTATAACAGCCAGGAAGAAGGAAGACACATGTTCCATATGATTTCTTCAAAAAGGTCTGGGGGAAAAAGAGAAAGGAAGAGATTAACTGACTTAATTTAACACTTGGAGCTATAAATTGTGTGTTGCAATATGGCGATAGGATGTTGCATCAGAACGTGGCAGTTGTAACAATGCAGTGGGCATCATAATCTTAAGGAGGCCTTTGTGATGTGCTGTGCCCTTTTCCTAAAGATTCAGCTCCAAGTGTAGATCCCTCTGTTCTGCCAAGGAGAATGGTATTATTTAAATTACGTTGTACCTCACCATAAATTTGTCCACTTGGTCTAGGGCGCAGAAATTCCTTTATACTTGGAGATCTGCTTGGGCCAGACATCATTGTACTGAGTCCCGGCATTCCTGTTGATTCTTGTTATCATATAGAAGCAGAAAAGTGCTGAGGTTTCTTCACTTCTTCCTGGAAGTCTTTCAGGAAAAGTGGGAGGTATTATGGCGAGGCTGTAATGTCTTTATTCTCAGATCCATTACTTTTGAAAGTGTATGTAATATTTCCTGAATATTTCACATTGCCTTTATCTAAAGAATTGAAAGTTTGTGACTAGGAGTTTGTCCCTGAGAAACAAGGATGAGGATAGGAGATGTGGAACATATTTTAGCAAGATTTTTAATAGGGTAGATAATTTGGTAGCTAATTCTTGTTTTTGGTTTTTGGTTTTTACTGTTTGGCTTTGTTGTAGGAGAAAATTCATGGTGTATGAGAGAAATGAAGTGACAGAATGTCAAAAATCAAACTTTATATTTAAAACATTGGCCGGGTGCAGTGGTGTATGCCTGTAATCCCAGCACTTTGGGAGGCTGAGGCGGGCAGGTCACCTGAGGTCAGGAGTTCAAGACCAGCCTGACCAACAAGGAGAAACCCTGTCTCTACTAAAAACACAAAGTTAGCTGGGCATGATGGCACATCCCTGTAATCCCAGCTACTCAGGAGACTGAGGCAGGAGAATCACTTGAACCCAGGTGGCAGAGGTTGCGGTGAGCCCAGATTGCACCATTGCACTTCAGCCTGGGCAACAAGAGTGAAACTCCATCTCAAACGAAAAAACATAAACTCTTGAGGGCAGGGCTGTTGAGTTCATTGTATGTGAGTAGACGTGATACTGTCATGGTTTTAGGTTTGGGAGTTTGAGGAAACTGGGGCAAAGAAGTTGCAGATGATGAAAATAAATCAGTTTTAATTCTGATAAAACTGGTTTTGGAAAATGTGGTTTAGATTTAAATGTGGAAACAATTTTTTCAATACTAAACTCTAGAATTAGTCAGACTTGCCCACCCAGTAACAGGTAGCTTTTGACCTCCTTAAGCCTCCCCATATGAGGGTCTTGCACTATAACTCCAGGGATTGAGGACCAGAGCCTGATTCTAAAAGATGAAAGGAAAAGAGTTGAGCTATGCATACCATTCCTCTCTCATCCTCCCCAGTAAGAGAAGCCCCTTCTTCCCAGGGGAAGTCGGGGAGAGAAGGCAGAAATGTTATACAGGACTGGCACTCCCTCCAGGTAGAAGGAAACCTCATGAGTGGGAAGCAGCATTTCTGCCCCACTGTGAGTGATATTGATATGGTGGCCTTTGGGCTAGTATAACAGGATGGAGACTCTTAGCAAAGTTTTAATGAGTTGTAAATCATTCTCATCATTTGCAGAACTATGGAGACATGCTCTCAAGATAGTGTGTGTGATAGTATGGTTTTTAAGTTCATCTCTTCTAGAAATCACAGCAAAATATTGACAGATAAACTGATAGGATGTCTGGGGTTTACCTCAAAATTATCCAGGAACAAGAGGGGTATAATGTAAAAACATTGTCTGTGATGGGTGTTACTTGTAGAAATTAGGTGATAGGTACATGGAGTCCATTATATTATTTCTAGTATAATGAAGATTCAGGTTGAATCTAAACTCTGCTACTAGCTCTATGCCCTTAGCAAGTTACTTTTCCTGAGTCTCCATTCCCTGATCTGTATAACGAGAAAAATAAATACTAAAATCTACCACATAGGACTGTTGTTATGATTCAATTAAAATAAGTTATAGGCAGGGTGTGGTGGCTCACACGTAATCCCAGCACTTTGAGAGACTGAGCCCGGCAGATTGCTTGAGCCCAGGAGTTTGAGAACAGCCTGGCCAACATGGTGAAACACCACGTCCAAAAAAAATACAAAAAAATTAGCTAGGCATGGTGGCACATGCCTGTAGTCCCAGCTACTCAGGAGGCTGAAGTGGAAGAATTGCTTGAGTCCAGGAGGTGGAAGTTGCAGTGAGCCCAAATCACGCCACTGCACTCCAGCCTGGGTAACAAAGTGAGACCCTGTCTCAAAAAAATAAAAGAGGCCGGGTGTGGTGGCTCACGCCTGTAATCCCAGCACTTTGGGAAGCCAAGGCAGGCGGATCACGAGGTCAGGAGATCGAGACCATCCTGGCCAACACGGTGAAACCCTGTCTCTACTAAAAATACAAAAAATTAGCTGGGCATGGAGGCACACGCCTGTAATCCCAGCTACTTGGGACACTGAGGTAAGAGAATCGCTTGAACCCAGGAGGCCAAGGTTGCGGTGAGCGGAGATCACGCCATTGCACTCCAGCCTGGGCAACAAGAGCAAAGCTGGAGAGGATGTGGAGAAATAGGAACACTTTTACACTGTTGGTGGGAGTGTAAATTAGTTCAACTAATTTACACTTCATTGTGGAAGACAGTGTGGCGATTCCTCAAGGACCTAGAAATAGAAATTCCATTTGACCCAGCAATCCCATTACTGGGTAGATATCCAAAGGATTATAAATCGTTCTATTATAAGGACACATGCACACGAATGTTGATTGCAGCACTGTTTACAATAGCAAAGACCTGGAAACAACCCAAATGCCCATCGATGATAGACTGGACAGGGAAAATGTGGCACATATACACCATGGAATATTATGCAGCCATCAAAAACGCTGAGTTGTGTCCCTTGTAGGGACATAGATGAACCTGGAAACCATCATTCTCAGCAAACTGACACAAGAGCAGAAAATCAAACACCACATGTTCTCACTCATAGGTGGGTGTTGAACAATGAGAACACATGGACACAGGGAGAGGAGCACTACACACTGGGGTCTGTTGGGGGGAAGTAGGGGAGGGACAGTCAGGGGTGGGGAGTTGGGGAGAGATAGCATGGGGAGAAATGCCAGATATAGGTGATGGGGAGGAAGGCAGCAAATCACACTGCCATGTGTGTACCTATGCAACAATCTTGCATGTTCTTCACATGTACCCCAAAACCTAAAATGCAATAAAAATAAATGTAAGTTATAAGACCATTACATAACACATAGAAGACACTCAAAAATTAGCAACTACTATTATACCTGTAAATAGAAAAATAATAAGGCAACTTCTTCCTTAAACATGGAATTGCTTTTTGGCGTGTATGTTTCCCTCATTTGACTCTATTAACTTGGATTTTGTTTTAACAGCTCAGGTGCCTAAAAGGCCAGAGGGGTTTCTCAGGCCAACCTCCTTTTGATGGAATCCACATTGTCAACCATTTAATAGGAGATGATGAATCATTCCATTCCTCTGATGAAGATTTTATAGATAATCCCTTACGGGAAACTGGTGTTGGTTTTCCTTTGCATGGAAAATCTGACTCGATGTCTTTGGACCCTGCAGTGGCAGATGGTAGTGCGAGCGAAACAGACGACAGTGTGCTGGAAACCAGAGAGAGCAATCGAGTGGTTCAAAAGGAGTACCCCCCGAGAAGAAAAGAGTCGTATTCAACCACTGTCTGACCATCACTGTGACCTAGACTATGGATTTCTTTAAGGGATCAGTTATCATGTGATTAGGGATTTTTGGAACTGTTTCATATGTACAGATATATATACATATATATTATATTTTACAGTCTTATCTGCCTTTTTATCTTTGCCAAATCTTTACCACTGATTTACTATTGCCATAAAGTAGACTGGTATATGGTTAATGTGTAAAACAACATTCTAACAGTATTACTGAATATTAATGTTTCTTGTTTAGAAAATGCAACTATATATGTGGGAACCATTTTGAAGTTCAAAACTATGGAAAATTGAATTTTCTTCAGACAAAACTGCTCTTGTGCAATATTTTATGCTCAGTGAGCAAATTGTATATTTATGTTTATCAATTTGTTCTCAAGGTGGCTGTCTATAGACATTTGACCAAGACATACATCTGTTCTACCTTGTGTTTTGTTTTCTGTTGTTGTTGTTGTTTTCTAAAATAGAGATTCACTCTGTCACCCCAGCTGAAGTGCTGTGGTGTGATCTCAGCCCACTGTAACCTCCACCTCCCAGGTTGAAGCAATTCTCCTGCCTCAGCCTCCTGAGTAGCTGGGAGTACAGGTGCACACCACCATGCCCAGCTAATTTTTTGTATTTTTAACAGAGACAGGGTTTTGCCATGTTGGCCGGGCTGGTCTCGAACTCCTGACTTCATGTGATCCACCCACCTCAGCCTCCCAAAGTACAGGGATTACAGGTGAGCCACCACACCCAGCCTACCTTTTTTGTGTCTGGGAGGTTTTGTTTTTGTTTTTGTTTCTTTCTTCCATGGAAATTACTGGTGGGCCACTGAACACAACCACACACAAAGCCTTTATTCTGTCTAATTTCATAAACACAAATTTGTGGTTATCTGTTTTGAGAGTTTTAAGTTTGGTTTTAATGTTTAACTTTTATGTGCATATGATGCTTCCATGTGTTGGTTACCAGAGTAGTAGCTTAACTACAGACATAATGTTTATTTGTACGTATTTATAAATCTGTACCACCTAACATTGAACATCATTTTATAGGAAGAACATATATGTTGCAAAATGACTCTTTTGGCATCTAACAGGACTTCTATAAATCATAGGTTAAAAGAAAATTGAAAAATAAAACACTAATATTTTAAGAGCTTTAGTATTTTGCTTAGCATTCAACACTAGCAGATTCATAACTGATGCCTGTTCAAAAACACTATTGGTGAAATCTTGTACTTCATGTGTATGTAACTAAATTTTTCATGATTGAAGTTATAGCACATATTAGTGCTAATATTTTAATGTAATTTAAGCAATGGGCTAAGGTCCAAGAAACATAGCAGTTAATATCTACAAATAATCTATGAACATGATTTTCAGATTATCTAGTTTTTGTTCTATAGATAAAGCCATAAGAATCCTTTCCTACCAGTTTTTTCTTTATCATTTAGATATTGTTTCCTAGAAAACAGGATGCCTGTCATTGATAAATTAGAGAAAGCACCCAAATTACACTTGTACTACGGAAAGACGACATGAAAATGTTGACTGGATACGTTCTACTCTCATTTTTGTTAGCCTGTGGAAAAAAACACTTTGTTAACCTATAGAAAAAAGCAGCCTTGGAAGAGAAAAGTAGAATTCAGTATGTATGGAGGCACAGTTTTGCACAGTATGTTGCATGCCAAAAAAAAACCTTATGAAATAGAGTAGAAGAGACAAACGTAGTTTTCTGTCAGAAACTAGGAGTTAAGACTTCAGGTACATTGTGCACTAGGCTTTCCAGCAAAGTTTTTGTAGCAGTTTGCTTGCCTGAGAAATGAAATTGTAAACATGCCCCCGTGTCTGTCCTTAACACCAGGCTAAATCCTGGTGGTTAATTAATTACCTGTGGTTACAAGCTAGTAAGTAGCAGAGCCAAGATTTTTTTTTTAGGGGTCTCACTGTGTTGTCCAGGCTGGTCTTGAACTTCTGGCCTCAAGCAGTCCTCTTGCCTCAGTCTCCCAAAGTGTGGGGATTACAGGTGTGAGTTACTGTGCCTAGCGAGGGCCAAGATTTTAACCTTGATTTCCCTGACACCAAAGTTTTTGAAAAGGTTCAGCTGAAGAATTTCTCAATTCCCTGTTTTGTTTTTGTTTTTGTTCTGTTTTGTTTTGAGACGAAGTCTCACTCTGTTGCCCAGGCTGGAGTGCAGTGGCACAGTCTTGGCTTACTGCAACCTCCGCCTCCCAAGTTCAAGCGATTCTCCTGCTTCAGCCTCCCAAGTAGCTGAGACTACTGGTGCACACCACCACAGCTAGCTGATTTTTGTATTTTTAGTAGAGATGGAGTTTCACTATGTTGGACAGGCTGGTCTCAAACTTCTGACCTCAGGTGATCCACCCACCTTGGCCTCCCAAATTGCTGCAATTACAGGCATGAGACACCATGCCTGGCAATTCCCTGCTTTTTTGACAAAGTAATTTAAATAGATATGATTTAAATGTTTCCTGAATATATATACAGATAAATATATGAGTATCAATACATATAAGCTCTACACAACTTAGGAGTGTAGATACTTACTTGCAGGATTGTTTCGTGCTTTGGTGATTGTCTTTCGTAGTTCTGTCAGTCTGAAAGGATATCAATGCCAAAGCGAAGTGAGATGATATGTGGCCACATTATTGCCTTGACCCTCACATCAAGAAATCTGAATGATCTAGACCAGGGGTTAGCAAACTGCAGCCTACAAGCTATTCCAGTCAGCTGCCAGTTTTTACTTTTTTAAATAGTTGGGGGAAAAATTCCAAAAGCTAGTATTTTGTGTCACATGAAAATTATATGAAATTTGAATTGCAGTGTCCATAAGTAAAGTTTTACTGGGGCACACCCATGCTCACCTGTTTACATATTGTGTATGGCTGCTTTGTGCTACAGTAGCAGAGTTGAGTCATTGCAAGGGACACCATATGGCCCAGGTAGCCTAAAATATTTACTATCTGATCCTTTACAGAAAAAGTTTGCTAACCTTTGATACAGATACTCTGAAATGCAGGTTTACTTCTTCAGTTTGACTCATTGGTAGGTCAGACTGTTTGCTTTTGCTTTTAAGCTTATGATTTGGAAACGTAAAACTTTGTGATGGATCTTATACTGAGAACTATTCAAAAGGGAAAACGTGCCAGGCATTTTATATGATGAAGTCTTTTATTCCATAGAAAATTATAGGAAGATATCTGTGTCTTTGGAGAAGGAGAAAGGAAAAAATTCCAGAATCCTATCACTGTTCTTTAAAGCATTCATCACGGACCTTTAGGGTATGCTTTATTGAGTAAAGGTTATAACTTGACTTTAAAATTAGGAATTTTCTAGAATCATGTAATTCTAAACTATGTACCATTTCTGATTAGGAATTAGGTGTTAAAGGAATCATGGTAAGGAAAGCTTAATCTGTTGAAACTCTTGTAATTTGGACAACAAAAAAACTAGAAATAACACTCTTTTCATTGAAGACCTGATTCAAATACACCTTTGAAGAGCTTAAAATCTTCCAGGCCTTTAGGATACAATAGGATATTATGCCCTGGTTTGACTTCATTTCATTCAAATTAATGTAAGTATGTTGTTCAAGACTTTGAGGCATGAACAGTGTTTTCTTGATAAATTTTATTTAATCCCTGACATTTTGTGTTATTTAAATGTTATTAAGTTAAACACTTAGAGCTGAGTAATATTCAGGGGGGAAAAGTGAATGAAATGACTCATAATAAGAAAGCTTGCTCCCTTGGGATAATTACCTTCCTGGTGTCATTGCCATCCTGGATTGACAAGCTGGGGTAAAGGATACAAGTTATATGAATAAAATGGAAATTGCATTGAATTAATGAAACACACTTTTAGATCAAGAAAACACTTCAACTGCCTTTTTAAAAACTGGCACACTCTTGTAGTCCCAGCTACTCAAGAGGCTGAGGCAGGAGGATCATGAGAGTACAGGAGTTTGGGGCTATAGTGTGTAATTATCACACCTGTGAATGAATAACCACTGCACTCCGATCTGAGCAACATGGCAAGACCCTCTTTAAAAAAAGAAAAAAAGAAAAAAACTTTTTTTTTCTTCCTGGGAAAAGAAGTCAAAGATGTAACTTTACACAATTTCTATGCCCACCGTCTTTTTTTGTTCTTTTGTTTTTGGCTAGATACTAGGTACCCAGTGTTTGCTGAGATGTCAAGTTTCAACTAATCGGCCAGTTATTTGGGAAGGAGAAGAACTTTTTCTCAGCTCTGAACGTGATGCAGCTTGTTAACTCTCCAGATAGTGCCTTTGATTGAAAATAAGGTCTACACCTTTTTAAGTATATTATTTCTGATATCATAAGAAATAATTTGGTTCCTTATTCACATTTATCTTTTATATAATGCACTGTAATATTCAGGTTTAAACTAAAATAAGTATATGAATTATATTTTGATAAAGCTGTTTCGTGACCAGCTTGATTAAAGTATATTAACATACCAGACATTGACAGTGAACATTTCATGCAATCAGTTATTATTAAAACAATGAGTTTTAGCTTGAAAGTTATTGCTGCTCTATAATTAACAAAACTAAGTTTTAAAAATTTAATTCTACTGAAATTTAATTTCTGGTTAAAGGCATAGTGGATGCTATTTGTGCTCCAAGTTTTTATATCACATTCACTGATCTGCCTATCCCTTCTTTTCACTCCAAAGAGGAGATGACAGAATAATACATTCAATATATTGCCAGGAAGCAAAATTATGACGTGTTTTATTTTACTGTTGGGATTTTTTATTGTATGATAACCTGAAATGTTTACTTGTGCCTTTGCTTTAAATAATTAAAGTTTTCCATTTTATAAGAATTTCTGTTTCCTTCAGCTTTTCAGCTTTAAAAGAGGAGGGGCATCAAAACACTGTTAACAAATTGACAGGGTATGGTGTCTCACGCCTGTAATCCCAGGACTTTCGGAGACCGAGGTGGGCAGATCACTTGAACTCAGAAGTTCGAGAACAGCCTGGCCAACAAGGTGAAACCCCATCTCTACTTAAAATAGAAAAATTAGCTGGGCATCGTGGCACATGCCTGTAGTCACAGCTACTGGAGAGTCTGAGGCAGGGGAATCACTTGAACCCGGGAGGCAGAGGTTGCAGTGAGTCCTAGTCACACTACTGCACTCCAACCTGGGTGATGGAGCAAGACTCCATCTCAAAAAAAAGAAGGCTGGCCTGATGTGAAATGTTCATTAGCAAGGTTTGTGCTCTGTAGGTACAGGAACTACATCCACCTGGTCCACCCACATATTTTTAGTGCCAAACAGTCTGGTACGTGATTGCATTCAGTAAATACGTTTTAATTTAATGAAAGACCATCTTTAGTGAAAAATGTCTAGATTTGTTTTCTTCAGGAACATGGTAATATTTTTGAAATATCAATAGCAGTATTTTCATCTCACATAGTACTTTATTAATTAGCAACTAATTCAATAAATATATTCAATTATATATAATTTGAATACACATATACAGACTATTATAAAAGGCAAGTTATACCTTCTGCATCTTTATCACAGTGTTAATGTCATTTAGTGCAGAAGTAAGAGTTTACTTTATATTCTGCTCTTTATTCCCAAAAGGAATTAAGGCACATTTTGAAAATACCTGAAATATGACAAGCTGTAATCCAGGGAGTCTCCATCTTGGGACTGATACTTGGAAGTAGCCAAATAATTATTTGTTTTGGGAGGCTCTCCGGTACACAGGCTGTTTTGCAGCATCCCTGGTCTCCACCCACTAGATGCCAATAGCATACCCTCCTCTAGTAGTGACAACCCAAAATGTCTCAGACGTTGTCATATGTCATAAGCAGGAAAGACAGAGAATGCAAATCACTGCTAGTTGAGAACCACTGCTATAAATTTCTTAGAATTGGGTCAAAAAAAGAGCCACTAGGGCCAAATATAAGAATATATACATCATTTTGGGTTTCATGCATAGCAGAGCAGCTCCCTCGCTGCAATCTATTGAAAGCCCCCAGTCTCTTTAAAAAAAAAAAAATTACATATATGTATGTGTGTGTGTGTGTGTGTGTGTGTGTGTGTGTATATATATATACATATATATATATACACATATATATATATATACATATATATATATATATATTAAAGATGCATCACAAATTTGACTATTTCCAGTAGTCAGTGAAAAAAGCAGCATCTGGACCACAACGAGGTACACACCTATTAAGGATGGCTACTTAAAAAATGAAAATATGCCCTGTGAAAACTAGGGAGCTCAAAAAAAAAGAAAAGAGAACCGTTGACAAAGATGTGGAAGAACTGGAACCCTTGTACATTTGCTGCAGGAGCGGAAAATGGCATAGCCTCTGTGAGGAACAGTTTGGTGGTCTTTAAAAATGTTAATTGTAGAATCACCATGTAACCCAGCAATTCCACCTCTACACATACACTCAAATCAGTAACTCAGATAATTGTACACCAATGTTCACAGCAGCATTGCTCATGATAGCCAAAAAGTGGGAACAATCCATATGACCATCAACAGGTGAATGAGGAAGTAAAATGTGGTATATATCACATATACAATGGACTATTATTCAGCCATAAAAAAATTCTACTACATGCTACAAAATAGATGAACCTTGAAAACATGCTAAGTGAAATAAGCTAGACACATAATATGGTTCCACTTATATGAGATATCTAGAATAGGCAAATTCATAGACAGAAATAGAATAGACATTACCAAGCAATGGAGGTGAGGGAAGAGAGTTATGGTTTAATGGATACAAAATTTTTGTTTGGAATGCTGGAAAAGTTATGGAGATGGATAGTGATTATGGCTGACAACACTGACTGTACTTAATGCCCCTGAGTTGTACATTTTAAAATGATTAAAATTGACCAGGCACAGTGGCTCACACCTGTAATCCCAGCACTTTGGGAGGCTGAGGCGGGTGGATCACCTGAGGTCAGGAGTTTGAGACCAGCCTGGCCAACATGATGAAACCCCGTCTCTACTAAAAATACAAAAAATTAGCTGGGTGTGATGTCGGGTACTTGTAATCCCAGCTACTCGGGAGGCTGAGGCAGGAGAATGGCCTGAACCTGGGAGGCAGAGGTTGCCATGAGCCGAGACCACGTTATTGCACTCCAGCCTAGATGACAGAGCGAGACTCTGTCTCAAAAAAACAAATACTAGACATGGTAAGAATTTAGTGTCAGCCAGGCTGAGGCATGCCTGTAATCCCAACACTTTGGGAGGCTGAGGCAGAAGGATCATTTGAGCCCAGGAGTTCAAGACCAACCTGAGCAACATAGCAAGACCCATCTCAAAAGAAAGAACTTAAAGTCAATTGATATATTAAAGATATTCACATAAAGATATTTAGAAGGAAAAAATATAAAACCTGCAGTTATAAAATTTGTGGTGCCCATGAAATAAGAAAATGTTTAGGAGTAAAATTCTAGCACTAGAGCACCAGACTGGGACTCCAGCTTTGTATTGATTAATCCTGGACAAATAACAAAACATTATGACTTCCTTGCTGATCCGTGGACACACCAGACTCCCAGTAGGATGCTCAGCCAAATAACACAAGGCAGCTTGTCCCCTCCACCAGGTCTCTGCTCAACCTGCACCGGAGGCCTTTTCTGATCCTTCCTTTGAAAAAGCCTCTTAGCTTTACTTTTCTCCATAGCACTGATGACAGCCTGACATCCTACCCATTTTACATATTCGTTGACGTATTGTTTATCTCCTCACACTAGAATGCAAGCTTTGTAAGTGTAGAGATTTTTAGCTCTATCCCAGCAGTGCCTTGGCTCTCAATAAATACTTGTTGAATGAATGCATGAATAACTGAAGAAATCATTTTACCTCAAGGTCTTCACTAATGAAACGAGATAAACATCTGCGAAATTTAAATGTCGGTAGAAAGTCCAGGATTCCACCAGGTGCAGTGGCTCACGCCTGTAATCCCAGCACTTTGGTAGGCCCAGGCGGGCGGATCACCTGAGTTCAGGAATTCAAGACCAGCCTGACCAACATGGAGAAACCCTGGCTCTACTAAAAATACAACATTAGCTGGGTGTGGTGGTACATGCCTGTAATCCCAGCTACTCAGAAGGCTGAGGCAGAAGAATCACTTGAACCGGGAGGCAGAGGTTGCAGTGAGCCCAGATCGTGCCATTGCACTCCAGCCTGGGCAACAAGAGTGAAACTCTGTTTCAAAAAAAAAAAAGTAAGTCCAGGATTCCAATGTAGCCAGCCTAGCTCCAGAGTCCTCTAATTACACAACACTGCTTTGGCACAAGGCACAAATCAGTCAATGTTGAGGAAGCAAAGATGAACCAGACCAACTCCTACTCTCACACACACGGCAAGAGATACAGGAGTACAGATGCACTGCCGCAGGAATTCAGAGTTACATCCAGCTTCAGGAAGGGGCTGCTTCTGCATCCCTACCTCCTCCCTACCCATTCCCCACCCTGTGTACCAGGGCAGTGCCCATGACCCTGCAACAATCTTTATGTGACATGCCCCATTCTCTCCTACCTTATGACCTGCTCATAGATGACCTGCTGATGTCACCTAACTGGGTCTATAGCTGCATCTCTCCTGCACTCCAGATTTTACCAAGAATGTCTGAAAATGAAGCATCTTAAACCAGGCCCAGAGAACCTTTTTATATTCTCCTGAACTGACTCTCAGAAGGCAGCCACCACTGTGTCCATGGTGAGATCAGAAGGCTGCTGGTTCCTCACTCCCATCGCCTATGGTTGGCCACTTTTTCAGAGATCGAACAGGGTCTTCTCTGAGGCTGTCCTCAGTTACAGGAGAAAGCAGGGTCAGGTGGAAAGAAACTGGTGATTTAAAGATGTTGTTTCTCTGATTTTTTTTTTTAAAGGAAATGCACGCTGTACACATGAGAGACTCCAAGGCTGAGATGCTGTGGCAGTTGAGATGCACCTGGGACTCCTAACTGTTCCCTGCCTCTGCCTCAGAAGGCGGGACAGCAGCCACTGCACACCGCCCCTCCACAGCGGACCAGTCAAGCCACGGTGTCTCCACCTTGTCTCTTCCCCCCACCAAGGGCTCTTCACCGCCAGCAGAGGCTTTCCTGGTCTCTGGTGTCACCTCTGCCCTTTCTGCCCCAGGACTGGAACAGATGCATCCCATTGGTGCTTGCTGTACTTCTACATTCAAGGCACCATTTTGTGTTTCCCTGCCTAACCTCAACCAGGATGACTTCGTGGGTAGAAGAGAGGATATCTTATTCATCAGCCTATTTTGTGACTTTTGTACGTCTCAAGGTCCAGCATCTGTCCTTGTGCCTGTCACTGGAGTACAGGATCAGAGTAACCATGCTCCATTTACAAAGAGAGAGTTTTAAAACATTTAGCACATGAATGAATGTTTGTCTCTGTAGCCTCCTTACCACCAAGTAAACTTAAGGTCAAGCTTAGGCTACCCAGGAGTCTGGAAGCCACGTCCTTCTCCCAGCTTCCTCGGCCCGGCCAAACTAGTGCCAGAACTACAAAAGCAAACTGCCAAGTGAAGTGGTAGAAAACTAAAGCCTGGGAATCATGATGCTAAGCACAAATTTTTAAAGAACAATTTCATGCATTTCCACCCATTAACTCTTAGTCCATTCAGAAGCTAAAGGCAAATGCAACTCTGTCCCTTTCTGGCAAGTTGCCATCTAGTCCTGTGGAGGGATGTTCTTGGTGGGCAACTTCCCAGGCCAGTGCTGGGATTTGAGTAATCACAGGCCCAAGTGGGGTGTGTGGGAAGGTGTGCTGTTTGGTCTGGCTCACAGCCGCTGACGCTCTGCAGCTAT